TGAACATAATGACAAAAATTCTATTATTTTGTTGGTTTTTATTGATGGTCCAGAATTAGCCTAACAAAATAGAAATGGACTTCTACCTGCCTTTATAGTTTTGCTAAGTTAAGAACTCAAGAAATTTGTGGTTAGCTGGACTTCTGCATGCTTCAGTTTAGGAATAAAAACAGTCCTTCATAAAATATTGTTTTTTGCTGATGGGGACCACTGTCCTTTACAGGCTCATGTACTAAACCTCCTAAACTAGCTTTGTTTTTCTTCCTGTGGTTCATATGGTTGTCACCTCAGTGTATGTCTAGATGTTATCTTGCCTAGGTGAAGGAAGTAACACCACTGAGAAAGGAAGCCTGAGTGATGGATACCAGAAATTGGTCATTAGCCAAATCAGCTCACAAACGTTTGTGTAGCTCTTTCTGAATTGCATTGGCCATTAGGTGTGCGGTTTTATATAGGCTGCCATTTTGGCAGCCCTGTAGGTTGCTTTCTTCTGTCACCAACAGTGGAAAAGAAACCCTGTCGTTATGGATCTTCCATATACCTGAAGGGCCTAACAGCTTGATGGCTTAGGATGTTTTTCATGGTTTATGACTGAAGAAAAGTTACGATTGCAAAGAAAGACCATATCTCCTTCAAGATCTGTCTCATGAAAGTCTTTAATTTCTCCTTATGTGTTTTATTACCTCCAGGCTGTTGGTAGTCAGCAGCGCTGGCTGCAACACTGCTGGCGTAAGGAGAGAGCGGCGGACACGGTTCTTGTAGCATTCAGGCTAGGACATAGCCATTTAGTGTAAGAAAAACCTTTATGCGTTAAAACTACGAACTGAAAGAGAATTCATAACCTGTATACTAAATAGAAATACGAAATACAAGAAGGCACAAATTGCCTTCTTGATTGAATAAAATGTGATAAGGCCTACAAAATTTATTCACTTTCTTATATTTAAAAAAAATAGTAATATAGATAAGGACAGACACAATAGAAATAACCCAAAGGGGGCACATAATGACAAGACAGGAAAACACTGAAGCAACCTTTTCATTACATCCCCAGGTTCCCATATGCAGTTCTGAAGGTCCTTGAATGCCGACCAACTTCCGAGAGTCCTCCCCTGCACTAAGGCTGCAAGGGTAATATCCTATGGAAATCTAACTTTACTCCCCAAAGAAAGTTGTAGGGTACGCTAATGAATTAGACGCCAAGTCTCATTGATCTTGACAATGTCAAAAAACACTAGCCTTCAAAACATCAGACAAAATATTCATTACCAGTGAGCAGATCTAATAAAGCAGGAGAAGGTGGTAAGACAAAAAGGATACCCGCCATGGGGAAACTGCTCTGTCTGTTCTGGCGCTGAATTAGTGCCAAAGCTCTGCTCTGTCTCTCCCTGCAATTGCACAGGGTCTGTCCACAATCTGACTGCTGCGTCTAGTTAACAAACACTTGCATGCCAGCTGTGCGCATCCTGCAGACAGGCAGCTACTACGAACGCAGTCAAAGGGCCAGCCAGGTTTCCAGCTGCAGCATGCTCCCAAGGCACAGCTGGCAACAGGGCAGCTCTGAGCTGACAAAGTGCTATTCCAGCAGCCCCTTTCACTATTCTGAGACATTCTAGCAGACAATAAGGTAGTTTCCCCACTTCATTAGTGCACTCTGCCTATTTCCTCTGGGAAGACAAATTTCCATAGGAAACTCCGCTATTGGAAATTGATTCTTCCAGAGGTCTAACACCAGCCCCTCTCAGGCAGAAAAGCTGCTTAATGGGCCCAGTGGGGAGAAGCAGATGGATAGGAAAATGGCCAGCTTTCCAAAGCTATTTAAATCTAAAACCTCTTCTGCTGTGGCTGTGTTAGGGCCATATAAAATCAAGTAATATTTAGTAGAAAAGGGGTATTATGACAGAGGGGTTTGGGCAAAAAAAAAACGCTACCAAAGTAAAAAAGGTCCTTTGTAAATGTACATACAAATCTGATGACGATTGAAGTAAATCTGCATCTCCCCCTTGAAAACTATGAAGCAAGAGCCACTCAGCATCACTGAGAATGAAAGTCCTGGGGAACACCTAGAAAAGTTAAAAGTAGTCTTTCTGGTACGGATCTTCGCTTCTAGGCTTGAAATTTAGCTTTTACCTCTCTTACCATGGCAACAGGACAGAATTCTAGTAGAATTGTCCTCAATCCAACTGACAGCTGTTACTGGATGAGGGAAGAGAAGAGCACTGCTTTGTGGTAATATCTATCCATCACATAATTTATTAGTTTCCAGGTAATCTGAACCAGATAACCTGTTTGTACAGAGTACTCCGGTGGTTTCCCTGATTAGCTGTTCTTGTATCTGATGACTCTGAGAAATCTCCACACTACTGCTAGTCATTAAGCAGTTCACTGAGTACAAATGTGCTTCCCACTTCCAAAACGCTTACACTGGATATGGAGATAGATTCAAGACAGGACTAGCATAGTTCCAGCCTGTCACAGTAACAGTGTAAGTAATCATTCTCATGCTTGCAAACTGATACACAAATGAGATAGACAGGCAGATTATTATTCCTAGCACTTACCCTACAGACAAATTTCTCCAGGAAGGAAATTTGCTTTAAATATTGTCAATGCACACACACACTCTCGCACTCTCTGAGATTATCCTCTCAGTGGGAAACATGGGTGAAAAACATCCATCCTTTCAGATATGCTTAATTAAAAAATAGTGAAATATATAGCAGAAATATAAGGAACTAAGATTTTAGACACCTTTTTGTGTTAAAATGAAGGTCAGTGTTTATCTTTTGTGTAAGCATGATTACGCATAGAGGTTATGGATTCTCAAAAACAATTTGTTTTTCACAGGACAAAAACAAGGCAGGCTGACTAAGGCAAAGGAGAGAAGTGACAATTCTGAACATTCTATCTGCATCCACTTAACATTAAAAAATAAATCTGAATATTTTCCAAAGTGCAGGTGCAGAAAAAAAAAAAAAAAACTTTAGGCTACAGGATTGAATATTGCAGTAACTTTCAGCCCTTTGCTTGGTCTCTCATATTTGTTATACGCTTGGAATTTTATGGGACTGGAAGTACGAATGCTTTGATTAGAAGTCTATTCATTGTAATTCAGCATGAGGTGACTGGATGAAGACTTCTACAATATATTGCTCCAAGTCACATAAAAAACAGATGATATACGCAGAAAGCTTTATTAATGCCTAGACCCTTGTTTGCAAATCAAGCTGATAATCGTGCTTTGCTATTGCCTATCTAGAGAGGAGTCCAAAAAGTTCAAATGGGAGGGCCAGCTGTAGCACTGCATTCTCTGCTACGCATTTTTTTGGTTGATTCACAAAGACTTTTGTGGCAAGAAAGTGAACTAGATTTCCTTGGTCAGGCCACTTTTCATACAGCCAAACTAATTATACATATATCTCCATAGCATCAATCTTTGTTAATTCTTTCAAGACATCTACACAAAGTTGCAAAAATTTACAGTCTTTTCTTTCAACTCCTGACTCCACCTTGAAAATGATCGTCTTTTGCTGAATATCCAATTGGTTCAGGGCCTGGACTATGGCAAGTATTTTTGCTCCAGTTTATAGAAGAGTGTTACCTGAAGGTCTGTGGTAGTTTGCAGTTATTTCATTCCCAAAACAAAGCTGACGTAAGAAGAACGTATTCTCCAGTGTTTCCACTGTAACTTTATCTACTTTGACATGAAAGGGAATAAACTTGAGATCCAACTGAATTACTGCAGAAATGAGGTAGAAGAGGTACCAACAGGCTGAGCATCCGTAGATAGAGCATCCACTGTCTCCATCCTAGATTTAAGGAGCATTTATAGAAATCATGATTTAAGGCATTTTATGGCGCACATTCTTATGTGATATAGCTTAGATAATTTCAGTGCAGAATTCCACTTGAGCTGAATACCAAATATCTGACAAAAAAAGTGTTTGAGAAGTTAGTTTGATAAAAATCTGGTCACATGCTGAAGGAGAAAGAGTATGTTCTCCAAGAGAGCATATGCACTCTTACGTAGCGAAACCAATGCAGATTAGGAACAGAGATCATACTGGGAAAGAGATTAATTTGTGGATCTTCAGTGACATCAATACCTGTCTTTTTCTGGTGAGGAAAGGTATCATCCTGAAAAGCAACTTTCCACAGCCTTTTAGACATTTCTGCTTTTTTAGGGGGGAGGGGGGAGGATTCCTTTTTATGAAGAGTAAATAAATAACAGTTATCTATAACGCCCAGAGATTAATGTTTTTAGAGCATGAATAACTGTGTGAGTGATAAAATTTTACATTGGATAGCAACTCAGATGCTGGGATAAATCAGAAGAGGCAAAAAACATCACAGAAGAAAGAAGGTATAAGTATCCTAGTTTAACTTAGAGATGTCTAGGAGCAACTCTAAGTTTGCAGTTAAAGGGCAAAGGATAAAATAGCAATGTAGAATTAGTATGACTTAAGAAAACCTTATATGTGCCTTGACCTGCAGCTAACACTAGCTTTAAGTTATGCCACAAAATTAACTGACTCCTGTATGTTACCAAAATACTTTCTCCTCCAAACAATGGAATTATCCCCTCCCACACATAGCAAGATCTGCTGGAAGTTCAGTGCAACTCAGTGCATGCAAGGATTTGGGCTACATTCATTTCATATTTATAAGC